TGAACCAAGCATTTTAGTTCTTCAGCAGCACTTTTAACCGTTATCCCTGTGTGTTGGTAATAGTAAAAAATTAGAAACTATCTAAATGCACATCAAAAATGAATTGGATAAATAAATTAAGGTATTTCCATTTAGTGGAATAGTATACAGCTATTAAAAAGAAAGAGATGTAGACACACTTAGTGACAGAAAAGTGTTCATTTTTTGCAATTGCAATATAGGCTATAGGGGATGAAGTCATTCTGGTAAATGTATATGTGCACAGTGTGTTGAGAATTTATCTTTGATGTGTAAGCACATGTATAACATCCACTTTCTTCTCTGTATATTCCAGAATTTAATACATTCTGGAGTGTTATTTGTAAACATTCATTACTGCTCTAATGGGAGAAAAACAGTTTTAAAAAATTGGTCCAGAGAGGGGCTATAGCCCCTGGGAACTGGTCCCTGGGCCCAGCTGAGTCCAAATTCCTTGCTTGGCTGTCCACCCACCCCCTGGGTGGTCAGTGCCTCCTGGCTCCTCCTCACTTCCTCCCTCCCTCCTCCTAGGATGCCGTTTGTGACTGTAGCACCCAGTCTCTCACCTCCTGTTTTGCCCGGCCATCCCGCTCTGCCATCCGCCACTCTCCTTCCAAGTGCAGGCTGCACCTTTCAGAGTCCGGCTGGGGTGGGGAGGAGAGGGCAGCCCCCCCCAGCGAGTGACAGAGCAGCCGAGCTCCCCGCCTTGACCAGCCCAGTCCCTGGATAGCTGAAAGGAACCAGCGGAGAGGAGAGGAGACAAGGCGAGGAGCCCGTGCCCTCAGCATCATCTAGCCCTGGGGGACAGCAGCTGCACCACTGCCAGAGAACAGCCTTCCCATCCAGGTAAAGCGGGGTCTCCTGCTGACCGCTGGGTGGTGCTCTCCGACTTCCCAGGGGAAGGCAGTGAGTGGGAGAAAGACCAAAACTGGGCTTCGGAAGCATCTACAGAGAGATCCGTTGGGACCCAATCCCTGGGTCCTGAGGGAGAGCCTTGCCTGCTTCTATACACAGCCACTTCTCAGAAGAGCCGAGGAAAGGATACACTTCTGGCCGTGCCCTCAGGGAAGGGGCTCACAGAGATGTTCCTGGCCAGCCACATCCCCTTCATGGGCAGGAAACACCGACGAGAACAGGCTTTGCTCTGGGCTCAGTTTAGGGTTCCTGGTGGAGCTGGGCCGGGCACCGTGCCCATCCCTTCCTCCCCTCCACCGCCTCCTCCGCTCAGCCCCTGCTCAGGATTGCTGTGACTCCAGGGGGTATGATAGGGCCGAAGCAAGGGCCAGGTATCTGCTTGGAATCCTGGAGCCCCGGAGCTCCCTGCCCAGAGCTTGGATGCAGTGAGGACTGGAAGACGAAGTAGGAATGTGTGGGCTTCGGGCTGGGGGCCCTGGAACTGCCTCCCTTGCCAAGGTGATCGGGGGACCCCAACCTTCCCACAAGACTCCTTGAGGACAGAAACAGGTAGAGTCAGTCTTAAGAGCTGGTACACAGATAATGCCTAAATGCCCACGGCCTTGATTGCTGGGGCCTCTTGCCCCAGCATCCTGGAAGGGCGCCACTGTGTTTACATCCTGCAGCTGGTGCAGGGCAAAGATATTCCCAGTAAGAGACTCCCAGTTGGCTAGGCCAGGCCAAGGAGCACTCCAGGAGGCCCGTGCCCCAGGACACGGTGGTAGACTGGGGCCTGGAAACACATTTCTTGCCTAGGTTGTTTATTTGAATTTTTCTTACTATAAATATTTAAGGTGGTTTTACTTTATTTTAATAATTTAATTTACCCCAAAGTCCCTAAGGTAATTTATTGGAGGTTGAGACATGTATTCTTGCCAGTGGGACAATGCGAGGCTTCTAACACGATGGACAGGCATGGGGTCCCCATGTGGACGAGGCAGCTTAGCAGCCGAGCTCTGGTCTTCTGGTCAGGTGTGGAGGGCCCCCCAGCAGAGCTGGAGCCCTGTGGCATGCTCCCCCAACACCGCTGACCACTGGCCTCAGAGTGCTGCTTTTCACTCAGCACCTGGTACCTGCCCGGCTCCGACAGTCAGTTTGTAAGCGCTCACCGACACGGCGGAGGGCTGGACCGACGTCACCACTTCCCAGACGTTCTCCACTTCCCTTCTCATTTTCCTCCCTCCCTCTGACACCTTTTTTGATGAGTCAAACATGGATTACCCGGGCTCTGTTGAGAGCATGGAGAGCCCTTCAAGTTCCCCAAGTGAGAACCCACAGGAAAACAGGACTGAACTTTGAGAATGTTGTTTATTGCAGCTTTGCACATGGACCTGAGAGTGTCTGTCAGCCTGCCCCAGTTCTCACCAGCCTGCCAGCCCTTTCACCAGCCTCTCTTCTTAGCCTTACGGCGTCTCACGGCTCATCTCCCAGCCCCAACTCCACTGCCCACCCTTTCCCACGTCCTGTGTCAGCTCCCTGAGCCATCACACGGATTGCGACGGGGCTCACTGCGCTGTGGCGAGGAGGCCTCATCTGGCCTCCCCCTTGGTGCCAGTGAACCCATTTTGGTTGCACACATGCCTGCACACATGCACATATGTGGCCCTCCTGTCACTGGCTGGGGGCCCAGAGTGGAAATACCAGCATGAAGCAGATTGACAGGAATTCCCCATCAGGAAGACCAAAAGCCAGCAGCTTTGCTAGTTTGCCCCCAGGACTCAGGAGACACCTCTGCACTCCCCCCTGCCAGCTCCCTGTCCTGCCCTTTCAGGGTCACCTGGACCAGCTACCCAAAGTCCTTCATCTCCATTCCCTAGTGGCAGACCATCAGGTCACGTCAGTCCGACCAGCCACTTGTTCATGCCATAGTGACCTGTGTGGGCAGAGCAGGCAGGCCCATGGGGCCTCTGAGATGCCACTGCTCCCCACCAAGAGGTCAGGGCCCCTCCGAGGTTATGTCCAGGTGAGGGGATTCAGACCAGGCCACAAGCCACCAGAGGCCTTCTGCCACTTCCCCGAGCTGCAGAGGGCCAGAAAGCCTGTGCTCTCAGCCTTGGGGAGAAATCTTCGTGAGACCTGAACCCTACGGCCTCCCACCGCGCTCAGCCTTACCATCGTCCTCGTTCAAGACTGTCCTTGCCATCTTCATTGTCCCAGCGCCTGGCCACCTGGCCCCAGCCGGTGTCAGAGGCTCCAGATCTTGGTTTTCAATAAAGTCCCAGTTTCTACTTCCTGCATGTCACTGTGCAAGGTCACTCATCACTGTTCCTACAGAAGCCTCTGGACACGGGGCTTGATGGGGTTGAAAATGTTACATGTAAATATTGGTTTGGTTTGATTTTTAGCTTTTTAATTAGTAACTGGTTGTATTTTCTTTTTTGGGGCGGGGGGGTTGGTTTGTAAAAACTCTCTACTCTTTTGGAATGTAATTTCTAAGTTTGTTTGTTTCTTCAAATGCCTTTTATGTCTTGGTAACATTCCCAAAGCAGAAAACTGCCTGACTCACAGTGGGGATTGCCCTGGAGCACTGGGTCCCAGGAAGGAACACTGCCCTTCTTCCCTTTCTTCCCCTGCCTACTATCTCTCCGCCCTTTTACTCCTAGCACCTTCCTCCTCCTCCTTTACCCTTCTCCTTTTTCCCCATCTCCACTCTCTTCAACCAAAGTCCCAAGGAACCCTGGGGACCTAATCCCCTACCGACTGCTAGACTTGGGTCCATGGTGTTGGCACCAGTTGGTTGGGGGAAATGGGGACCAGCTGACACAGTTGACCCTAAACTAGGCGACCTCATGTTTCTAGTATCAGACCTCTTCCCAGAGCCAAATTAGACCCTCCTGGGGGCAATGATGTCTATATTTGAAATGAAATTCAGACCACTTTGGCACATCAGTGGCTCCTAGACCCTGCATGCACAAGGCATCAGAACCCAATTCCCTGTCTCCCTGGTGGTCCTTTCCTCACAGTTCTTTTGCCACCAATGGCTGACCAATTTAAAAACACCTCCAAGAAGTCTTGCTTTCTATGAACTCAGAATGGGCCCCACCCCTTGGTCACCCCAAGGATGCTCTTCCACCAGCTGCTCTCCTGGGTGACAAAGTTGAGGGCCCAAAGGCGTGACCCTCTTATACCCTGATCACCAACATGGCTCCATCATGCCTGCCCCCATGTACCCTTCGTGGTTTCATCACTGAGCCTGTTCTCTTGCCCACCCAACTTCCAGGCCCTTCCTCCCTCTCCCCTCTCATCTAGGATGTCCCCCCAGCCTCACCAGCCTTCTACCCTCACCAGCACTGCCAAGTTCCCACTATGTTTTCATTAATAATAATCCTCTGCATGCCCTGCCTAGAACACTTTACTCTTTAGAAATTGCTTCCCCATCCCACATCCCCTTCAGACCTCTAAGGGACAACTCTGGAAGGCAACCTTGGCAGGACAGGGGTTAGTGCTCCTGTTTTGCAGATGAGGAAGCTGAGGTGCAGGTCTCATCCCAGAGTCACCTAACGGACGTCATCAAGTTTAGACTAGAACCTGGGTCCACAGGATGCTCCAGCCCCACTCTGTCCTGCTTGCTCTATAAACCCACTGTGCCACTGTGTGAGTACCAGACATCCAGAGTATGCCACTGCCCGACCTAGACATAAAACCAGTCCACTCTTGAATCACTGGACCTGTGTGTCCCAGAGGTGGTCTGGGGACCCCCTGCATCAGAATCCTCAGAGGACATGTGCAAAATGCAGCTTCCTGGGCCCCACCTCAGCCTCCTGGGCCAGGAATCTGCATATCTAACAAACTCCCAGGGAGATCCTGAGCACCAGTGGCCACACCATTTATGTTCACAGCTCTGACCACTAGGCCCTCTTTCTTTTAACCAATAACCACAATGCTATGTCTTAAAAAGAGCACTCAGCTGGGAATTAGGGGGCCTGGTCCTCAACCTAGCTCTGATTTGGTTTAATTACTCTTGAGAATTTTCAAAAAGCATCAGAGGCAATTTAGAATCTTAGTCATAAGGCTCAATAAGACAACAGAAAAAAGAAAGTCAAAGGGCAGGATGAAGTATCACTCCCTACATCTATCTGATGTTAATTCCCCAAATTCTGCAATTAAATCTTACTCTTGAGTTTCCTGGCAGCCATGGTAAAAAGAGAAACACATCAAGTTTCATAACTTGCATCATCCAGTCATGGGAAGCAAGCATATTTTCCCCAGGAGACAAACTCCTCTGCTAATTTATAGCATGTGTCATTTCTTCAAAGGCCACTAAGCCAGTTGCACTGTGAACCTCAGGTGAACCTAAAATGCAAGGATGTTTTCCAGGTCACTGTTTAAAAAAATAGGGACTGGCCTGGTGGTATAGTGGTTAAGTTTGCAAGCTCCACTTTGGCAGCCCAGGGTTCGCAGGTTCGAATCCTGGCACGGACCAACACACCGCTCATCAAGCCATGCTGTGGCAGCATCCCACATACAAAATGGAGGAAGATGGGCACAGATGTTAGCTCAGAGCCAATCTTCCTCAGCAAAAAGAGGAAGATTGGCAATAGATGTTAGCTCAGGGCCAATCTTCCTCACCAAAAAAACAAACAAACAAACAAAAAACAACAATAATAAACTGCCACCAACTTGAATGACCATGGCCCCAGATCATGTGGCTAGTGTATGCCTCAGTTTCTCCAGCTATAAGGTGGGAGAATGTCCTTCTACTTCATGCGGCTGTGGTGAGGACCAAATACAATACTGTACCCGTGAGTCTACTTGGAAAAGCATGAGGTTCTACACAAATGTAAAGTGGTCTGACCGCACTCATTGGCCCCAGGCCAGCCCCCCAGCACCCTGGCCCTGGGGGTGACATTCCTCACCCCCCTCACTAGTCTTAGTCAATAGAAAGGGAACCACAAAATAATCTGGACCAACTCTCTCACTTTTTTTTAATTGTGGCAAAATATACATAACATAAAACTTACAATTTTAGCCATTTGTAAGTGCTTTGAGTACATTCACAATGTTGTGCAACCATCACCACTATCCATTTCCAGAACTTTTCATCTTCCCAAACTGAAATTCTGTACCTACTAAACAATAACTCCCCAATCCCCCTCTCCCAGCCCCTGGTAACCTCTATTCTACTTTCTGTTTCTATGAATTTGCCTACTCTAGGTACTTCATATAAGTGGAATCATACAATATTTGTCCTTTTGTGTTGAACCCCCTCACTTTTTCAGATGAGGAATCAGGCCCAGAGAAGGGAGTGGCTCACCCAAGGTCACACAGCAAACTAGAGGCAGTCAGGACCAGAACCCAGGTTTCCTGACTCCCAGCAGGTTCTGCATCCCCCATGGTGAATGAGACACCACTCTGCCATTCTGTGACCTTGGTTGAACCCCTGCCTCTCTCTGGGCTCAATCTGTTTGCTCCCCACCTCCCACCCATCCTCTCTTTTATCATCTTCCTCCAAAGCTTCCCCTCCTCCTGCCTCCTCTTCTCACCAGCAGGCCGAGTGGCCAGGTTTTCCTCTTCTGGGCCCCGGGGCTTATTTGTAGCACCCACCCCTCAGCCCTCTCAGAGCCCCCTCCCCAGCTCTGCTCCCCTCCCATGGATTTCCCTGTCCCCTCAGGCTCACATTCCTGTCCTCCCATGTCTGTGGTCTCTCAACTCCTGATGTTTGCTTTTTGGATCTGGTTGTATTTCCTAAGTTCTGTTTTATTTATTTTGTGTTTTCTCACACCAAAGGGGGCACCTTTCCCCAGGGCCTCAGGCGGCATCAGCCATGCCAGCCCTTCTCTCTGGGCTCTGCCGCAGCAACCCTCCAGCCCAGAAAGACATCCCCCAGTCCCACCCCGGAGCCACACTGTCTTCTCTGTCCACAGCCTCCCGGCAGGACCCCAGCACTTTCCACTGGGAGTGTGTGTGTTGGGGGAGCTTGGAGCCCCCTTTTGACCTCCTCTACCCTGCCCAGTCCTGCATGGCCTTGTTTGGAAAGCAGATGCAGCCTGGCTTCGGTTCTTTTCTCCCACTCCTTGGTCTTCCATCCATCTGTCTGTCCATCTGACATCCTACCATCCTCTCCGCTCTCTTCTGGGCCTCACTACCTCGGGAACAGCTTACCTTGGGTGTACCCCTCACCCCTCCCAACAGTGTTTGCAGTTTGCAAAGTCCACAGACCCAAGAACCAAACGAGACTGGGGACATGATACTGGGCCTTAGTCACCTGCCCAGGGCTCCCCTCCACTCCTGCCTCAGCCTCCTTGGACCCTCCCTTGTCAATCCCATCGGCCCTGCTCCTCTCCCTTCCTGCACTTCACCAGCCCTCTGGACCCCAGGCCCCAAGGAAAGGAGCTTTGGTTTCCTCTAAGCGTCCTCAAAGGCCAAGGCAGTTGGGGCCTGGTCACCTTGTCACACTCCATTCTGACACCACTCAAACTGCTCCCATGAAGAGGAACCTCAGCCGGCAGTCTGGAGACCTGGCCCAGGTCTGGGCAGATCTCTTAACTTCTGTGAGTTTGGCTGGTTGTATGATTTTATGATGAGCACCAGGATAATCCCTAGGGCCCCAGAGCACCCATTGTCTTTTGGGGCCCTGCCTCACCATCCTCTGTCCACTGGGCCCTGGTATCTTGGCTCCTCTCTCAGCTCTGCCACTGATCTCTGTGCCTTAGTTTACTTCTCTGCACATGGGGGCTCACCACAAGACTATTCTCAGCAGCTTCTCAGACATTTTGGTGTCTCTAAGGCTGGGCCTTGCGGGCTGTTGCCCAGCTCCCTGGCACTGCCTTGGGGCACCAAGCTGCTGAGGATGAAATGTCTGGAGGTCCTCAGAGCAGCAGGAGCATCACCTGGGAACCTGATAGAAATGCAGAGTATCAGCCCCATCCAAGACCTACAGAATTAGAACTTCTGGAGCCAGCTGGCGTTTAACAAGCCCACCAGGTGATTCTGATATACACAGGAGTTTGCCAACTGCTGATCTAGACTAACAACTAGTGTGGCCTGGGGAGGGACTGAAGCTGGCCCAGACCAGGAACAGGTGGGAAACGGCAACCTCATCTGGACTCCGGGGAGATTGGGAACTCTCCCGCCCCCTAAAAACAAAACAAAACAAAGCTATGTTCTCCTCATCCTGGAAGCTGGAGGGCAGGGAGAAGGCATACATTTTTCCTTTCCCTGCCCCTGGCTTGGTTCCAGCTCTGCTCACCTCTCCCACTTGTCTGGGTTTTACAAAAGGCTGTGTAGGGTTGTGCCCGCCAGGCAGAGGGTGGGAGTCCAGGGCGCAGGAGACAAAAGACCCTGACCATTTATCCCTTGAGAACCTCACACAGGCTCATGGCTTCTCTTCAAATGGAAAGAAACCTAACTCCTCCTCAAGGAAAGAATCCTGAATCCCCAGCTCCGCGCCACTGCCCCCCACCCCCTTCCAGGAAGACCTTGTAGACAGTGCCAAAAAACAGCTCCAACCCCCAGCAGCTGGGGAAGAGAGCCAGAAGCTGTCCCTCGTCCTCATCCTGGTCCCCCTCCCCACCCCCTGCCAATACTGTGAAGCCCCCTTCCTGCCCGGCCTGATTTCCTGATGTAGGTCCTGCAGTCATGGGCCCTAGGGGACCCCCAGGGAAAGGCCTTCGGGAGGGAAGGGACCAAGGGCATCCTTGGGCCAAGCTGTCCGCCTCTCCTGTCCGCTGTTCTCTCCTCCCCACTCCTGTCTTCAAAAGGCTCCTTCCCAGGACGGATTGGGTGCTAGGACAACTGTGGTCCAATCCGCCAGCTCTCCCTGCCCCCGTGTCTTATTTCAGACATGAGAATAACTGTACAGTGTAAACTTACAAAGGGTTTTTAATGGTTGTAGATTGGAAATAAAGTATGTCATATGAACAGTTTCCATGGACTTGGCCTCCTCTCTGATTTCTCTTGTGGGGTGGGTGGGACCCCCACAGATTTGAAACCTGACTCTAGCCCACCCCCAGTTGCCTGGGAAGGAGGGAGCCCTGGGAATGCCACAACCAGCTGGCTGGTTTGGGGTCACTTGAGAGGAGCCACCAGGTGTTCCTGACTGCTGACACCCCAGAGTCTCCCATGAAGTGTGATATGACCACCGGGAAACAAATGCAGAGTACTCAAAAATGGAATTGAACCTTTCTACAAAAGACTTTAAAAATTTTATCATGGAAAAAAAGGACACTTTTAACATAGGTTATCTATAACAGTATAATCAACTATCTCAGGGCCGGCCCCATGGCTTAGAGGTTAAGTGCTCGCGCTCCGCTGCTGGTGGCCTGGGTTCGGATCCCGGGCGCGCACCGACGCACTGCTTCTCCCGCCATGCTGAGGCTGAGTCCCACATACAGCAACTAGAAGGATGTGCAGCTATGACATACAACTATCTACTGGGGCTTTGAGGGAAAAATAAATAAATAAAATTAAAAAAAAATTAACTATCTCAAAACATTTATTATACCACAGAAACGGTGGGTCAGGAATTTGGGAGCTGGGTAGTTCTGACTCACGGTCTCATGAGGTTGCCGTTAAGTGTCAGTCAGGCTGCAATCATGCGAAGGCTTGACTGGGGCTGGAAGATCCATTTGCAGGGTGACTCACTCATATGCCTGGCAAGTCAGTGTTGGCAGGAGTCCAACCCACATGGACCACTCCATAAGGCTGCTTGAGTATCCTCACAACATGGCAGCTGGCTTCCCCCAGAGCAAATGATCAATGAGAAAGCGGGATAGAAGTCACAATGTCTTTTATGACTAAGGCTTGAAAATCACACACTATCATTTCTGCAATATCTTATTGGTTATACTGATCACCTCTATTCATTGTGGGAGAAGACTACACAAGGTATGAATACCAGGAAGCAGGGGTCATTGGGAGCCATCTTGGAAGCTGTCTACCACGTGAAAATTTTACAGGTCTCCTCTTTTTTGAGGGCCTAACAACAGCCAGGCCTATGCCAGGCATTGAGGATACAATAGATGGGCCTGGAAGACAGGAAAGCAAATGTCAATGGCAGAGGGGAGCCCAGGGTGCTCAGGGAGCCAAGAGGAATCTGGAAAGGCTTCACAGAGGAAGGGGCAACTGAACTGGCACCTAGGGTTGAGACGTTGACAAGATAAGGGGATGGTGGTGTGTTGTAGGCGGGAGACTGAGGGGCAATGGTTCCGGGGAGAGGTAACAGCATGTATGAAAGCCTAGTAGAAAGAGCAGAACTGGGGAACTGAAAGACGTTTGATGTCACTGGAGCAGGGAGTGATGAAAGAAGAGGCTGGGTCAGATCACACAATGCCTTACGAGAGAAGGAATATCCTCATCCTGTGAACAGTAGGCAGCCGTGGAAGAATTGAAAGCAGGGAAAGGACACAGGAAGTATTGGGTCTGGATTCCACGAAGCAATATTCTCATTGTGCCCCAGGATGGCCAGCCCTGGTTGGGAACACTGTGTTCTGTTCTTGGGACATTGACAAGTGAGGAGTTGAAGGCGGGGCGGGGCGGGGGGGGGCGGGGAAATAGGGCATAGAAGGAACTGGGTGCTGCTGAGCCCCAGAAAGTGATATCCAGAGACCCAAGAGCAAATCTCTGCTTTCAGATGGCTGTTGGAGCCAGCAGGCTGGAACCACAGGGTGGAAATTTCAGGAAGGCAGATTTCTGCCTACCACCAGAAAACTTTTCCAAGGACCACAGCTGCTACGGAAGGATGACCACAGTCACATTCCAGCTGTTGCTCCTCAACCCCTCTTTCAGAGTTTGTGGGCTGCTCATAATTCAACATTTGCAGGTTTCCAATCCTGGAAGGACCATACATGCAAGGGGACATTTTGATGGCATCATGCTGGGTGCTGAGGA